CCAACAGAGGGGAATTTTCACCGCATGTTCCCCAACATCCAGTCCTTCGTTTGTTTCCGTTGTTATCTTAGACATGAAATTACATTAGATGGATTTGCTACATTGATTACTTTTACTTCGAGAAGAATTTATTCCTACAGTTGATGATGGGGATTTTAAAATTACGTTTCATTCTTAAGCCCCCTTTTGCAATGAGCCATCTAGGTTTTCATGGTAAACAGGTGGGTGTATATTTTCCAGAATCTAATTCGCTTTAATGTTAATCCTAAATTGCTTATCATTAGGTGCAGATTCCGAAAGTCAGTTGAAATGTAAAGGTTCCTACACTTGGGTTGAATTAGCGAAAACATGGGTGAAATTTTACGACATATAATAATCGAAACACAGGCCTTGAAAACCAGTTTATACCCAGTCCCATTAGCTAAGAGACAACCATCGATGGGGGACTGTTCCGTTCTAAAGTGTCCGTAGGCTATATCATTAATTATTGATATGGCAAGGCTCATACAGTATTAGTCGGTGAGTATCACGTATTAACCTTGTTTTTATGGTTATACACAGGCACCATCAATAATGATCTAAAATTAATAGCTTAATATCTAAAACTGAAAAAGATACCATTACTCGATGCCAATGCTGGAGCCTTAGTGACAAGGTGTCATTTAACGTTATCTCACCAATGACTGCTTATCAGGGGAAACTGTCCCGCTACCAGTGCCACAGATTGATTTTCCGGTAGATATTCACAGATATGTCTTTGGTTATTTCATGACCCTTTTTTCTCTATTCACATTAGAGAAAAGTGCAGATAATTAATCTGCGGCCCTGGTTGAGGGTAGAGGAAACCTACCGCGGCTATGTGACTATGCCATGCATTCAGACGAGGATTAAGCCTGAAACGCGCTGTTAAGACGGTCAAATGGGAGAGAGACCAGTTGTTTTTTAAATACCTTGACCGTTGGCTGACGCACTGACTATTTCTACCCATCTATCTTTATTCAGTTTGTTGACGTTGTTTGATAAAATGCATGCGAGTGGAATATCCTTTTCTTTATCAACAATGTTAAGAAGGCGTGCTTTTCTTTTTCAAACGTCACATACGTGTCACATACGTGATGCGCAGAACTCGGCTACGTCTCTATATACTTTAACCGCAATCGAAGCCCTGCTTGATTTAAACATATGAAAATATACGTGACCAAAGATGAAAACATTTCTCCTCTACATGGCTTCTGAAATGTCGAGGACCGGACAAACCCCTCTGTAATTGAAAAAACTATGTATCTCTGACATTTTCCTGTGCTGTAGTCAAGTTCCCACTGGAATACAACGTACGTTAGGCACCAAACCGCGCGACACCACCCTAAGTATCAGAATCTAATAGTATCCTCGTCCCATGTGTCTCTCTTAGTGGAATTAACATGGAGTGTTGGTGCCAGAGCTCAGAAACTCCGGGTGGCTGGTCCAGGAACCGTTCCAGATGGAACATGATTTGATTAAGCACACCGGTAGCACAGGGAAAACAAGCAACTGTGATAGACAGCACCAGGTTAGACGAAATCAAATTTGTCCGCAGGGACGAGAACTGACATTTTCTTACAAATGGTTCCAACCCCTTTTTTGAGTGCAAAACGTCAAATGAAAAGATTGCCGTTATGGCAGACAGTATCGGCTATGTAAATAAAACGATAGAACTGTCAAAGATGAGGAACACTATCAGAAACATATCGAACACTTGTGAGAGGCCGTAGTCAAAGAAAAAGTACAAATGGCTTCGAAATCTGCTTGCTACCAAATAACACGTCGATTATGCTTGTTTTATCTTTGTTATCCTAAATTGTTTGTTAAGCAAACCATATAATCCAATTTGCCAAAAAAACTCTTATTCACATTGCATTTTGAATAAGGACAATGAAGAAAGAGACAAATAAACATGTCAGTTCTGAACATAGGTCCGTGTAATCACTGCCAAACAACACCGGGTAGACTACGTACAAAAGTAACAGTTTCAAATTATCATCTTTCCATCAATACTCAGAGCAAAACAAATATTGTTTCAGAACTGATCGAAATACATTTTAAAACTTTGACATTATTTCTGTCAAGCTCTGTGGGACAAATATTCGACTATAATCTGGCAGCAAATCGCAAGGGACGCGTCTTTAATAATTCAGTTGATTGAAATAACAACACCATTTGCATCACCCTCGAAAAGAATTGATTTTTCATCGAGAGACCGATGCAGATCGACGGGATATTTAAAGTGCCGTCACAGAGAAAAACAGATTCGGTTCCAAGTGTTCCTTTTGACGTCACGAGTGATTTTTGGACTTACTCCAGAAATAGTTGCTTTGATTGCATTTAACTCAATGCATGCGTCATGCCAGGGTGTCCATAGTATACTCCAACCGACCACTAGTTTATCATATCCCAAGAGGATATCTATTACCTTGATTGTCCTAACATCTTTACTCAATAAATGTGTGTAAAGGGGAGAGGAAGTCGGCCAATTTTGGTCTCTGGCGGCTCATCTCGGTGGATTGCTGAAAGGACGAATACAAACCACCGGACAGTGGCCAGGAGCCTTAGGGTGAGGAAGGGGGATTTAGCGGCCGTTGAAGGCCAACGTTATACCGGTACATGTAGGGAAATTTTACGTAGCGCCCGTGGCACTCATCTAGATGTTGACTGTTGGAAAAGTACGATGCTTCAGATGGAGAGAGAGACCGACAAAAAGAGAGAGATGTGAAATTAAATGCGTCACTTTAAATGTACATGACGAAGCATTCGATTCCGTTAATTTTGGCGAAGGGGTTTTCTCTGTCATTTGCGATCTTACAAGAAGTTTGTTCTTCTTTGAAAAAACAGGAAAAGAACTGATATTACGTCACCGGAATTTAGCCAGATTATAGGATTGTGGCGGTAATGATATGCAGATAGAGATGGGGTCAACATTGGGTCACTTCAAATTGGGATGGGATTTGGGACATCCGACTGATGATCAATGCAAATTAATTCAGCAGGTTAACTTGAATACTTGTCAGCCCATTTACGATTCGGTGTTCCCAGATTTAATGTAATAGTACATGTGCGTTTAAACTTTGGTTTTGAGACTAACCTAAAACTGGCTACGTCAGACAGCTGACGCCGCTAACCCAACCTAACGATAATACTTGTTCAGTGTTTGATAGTTTTAAGAATGACTAATACTTAACAAAATTAGTTATCACCACTGATTATTTATACTTTTATCATTCTGTCTTTGGGATTAGACATAGACTCATTCGGCTAAGACTCAGATTTAGTCGTTCAAGATTCTTAGCAGCCTGCTTTTCTATGTAGGATTCCTTGAAAAGTCCCGCCTGCACAAATTCATAGCTATAACCATGACATCATCCATCCTTTACGCTGGGTTGTTTTTGCACATAGACAATTAATATCTGTCAGACTATGTCAACAATTAATCATCCCTATTGCACGGTCCATTTAATTCATCTATTATAAAAAGAAAACCAATTAATTATTCGAGTAAAGAGAACCTGACGCTCCTGTTCTGCGTGTACCGTTTCGAAGAACAAACGGTCATATATGTTTGTTACAGAACATAGCGGGGACACATTATTCAATGCGGCCTCTGGTTAATTTAAACAAATGGCGTATCGACCTCCTTGCCTTTCCAGCTATGGACACAGTTTTCATAGTATAATATAATATCATTTTTGGAAAATAGGTGGATAAGGGGTTGCGTTAGCCTATAAGTATTTCATATGCTTTTATTTCCAGTGACATAATCATAACCATAAATCCGCGTTATATACCACTGTCATTCTACTAAAATGTATTCTGAATTGGGCTACTAGTGTAGTGAATAAAACAACGTCAGCTCACTGTCCACGTGAATATAAACTTGCTGGCAGCAATGTGTTGTGATATTACGTGACACAGTTTTTCTTGGTATAAATCTGTTTTGTCCTGTGGGTCGAACACTCGTTGTCAGTTCTGTAGTGAGAGGAAATCTCATGGTCATATATCGCCGGAGACGTGATAAACGCTTGCAAATAGGCCTCGTGTGATTACGAATGGCATTTTAATTCCATCATTACCCATTACTGCGGCAGTTAACACAAACACAAAAATCGCAGTTTGTAAATGGGTCTTTGCAGATGAGTCAACCTGGATAATGTTATAATTTTATCTCTGTTATTCCCCATTATCGCGATATTTTGAGATAAAACGAAAAGCAGATATTACAATTGAGTAGTTCTGTATAGGCCTATACCGATGGACCCGGTTTCGCAAGTCGACAAGTGCTCTCGATCAGTCATTAATCCCACGGTTTTCTAATTAAGACAAAACCTCATGGATGTATTATTCCGTGGAATCACGGGCCGCATTTGCGTGACGCGTTGAATTTGCAACACTTGTGCTTATGCATGTTTTCCATCTTTACCGAACAGAATGTTTGACAGATCTCTCGATGCCTCGCGGGAATTATGTTTCCCGGTAATGGCCACGGCGTTAATGGTCAAAAACTGAAAAATACACGGGGGACGAGGGCTGGTATGGCAAAAAAAAAAAAAAAAAAAAAAAAAAAAACAAATTTGCTCGCGGTTACCTTGTCTGAGTTGCCTAAGAAACAACTTTTAAGTGATAAACTTCTTATATTGAGAACAAGTTTTTTTAGGATGTGCATATTAATTGTGGTGCTTAATTCCAGCGCAACATGGTGGATTTCCAACAGGATTCCCAACCTGTGCCTTTCATTACGTTTCACGCAGTCTGTGAAGTGTTTTATGAATGAAAAAAAAAACAAAAATTCCAGAATCTACCCATACTCATTAGACATAACACACTTCACTACATACAGTTACTTTGAACCTAAGCTTTATTTTGCGTTGCCTTTTCAAACAGTGCACAACGCTTAGCCAGAATGCAACATTTGTCAAAAAATGATGATAATATCAATAATGTACTTACAAAACGAAAAGGAAAATACTTACATTCGTCCGTGTCAAAAGTTTCCACAAAGTCTAACGTCTTGAACTGTTGGACCAGGGCCTTCTTCCCCACCGTCTCGTGGCCCAGCATCATCACCCTGTAGATACGCCCCACGTCGCTACAGGCATCCTCACTGTAATGACTGCTCCCGCCAGACATCACACTGTTGGAGCGCAGACGATACCCCTCTCGGTCCCCCGTGAAATAGTCCCCTAACTCTGCACTCCCCGTCGACGACATACTCTGATTGCTCCGAGATATAATTCTGAAAGTGTCCGCTTTCTTGAGCAATCCCTTGGGGGAGGTGCTGAATTCTCGAACGGGAATCAACTCCGTGTCGCCGTGCTGAAGGAGTCTTGTCACCGAGTTTGGAAGACTTCGATACACTGTGGCTGGGATGCTGTCGCTGCGAGGTCTCCCTCGGCAGGTTGAGGAGACCGAGACTCGTTTGTCTTGGATGGTGACGTGATTGCCGTGCCTGTTGAGTCCGCACGGGGAGCTGGCCCGAGAGCCCTTGCAGTACGACCAACTGGCCGAACGCGGACGTATTTCGTCCAAACTGGCGGGTATCTCAAGCAAATGTGTCTCCGTATCAGCCATGAGTCAGTAGGAGAGGGTTTGTGATATCTTTCAAACTACTTCTTTTCCAAAGATTTTTTGTTCTGTAAAATTGTTTTGCGCTGTTGAAGCGGTTTTCGATACTGGCTGGCAAAATATTCTTTTCTCTGCTCAAACAATGTTTGGCGCCAAAGTATTAAAAATGAGCATAATGGTACATTTTTTCCACTAAACCACACCAAAATATGCCCTACAATCTATCAAAACTGTTACAAAACTAATTTGGCTAATTGCCTGTTACGAAATGAACAACTTACTAGTAGTCACCTAAAAGTGGCTAAATGAATCGTCTTGTCGATATTGCTTTAAACATGCACCGTTCTGACTCTTCGCATTCTCTTCTCCCGGATCAAATCCAATATCACCACAAGTAAATGATTGCCTGTGCATACATACTGCCGAGATGATGCCGTTATATTTACTGCCTATTCCTGCCTGAGAAATCCAATAAATACTAACGCGCCGCTGTCAATCAACGCAAGTCTCAACTTATCAGAACACGAGTGGAGATAAAAATCGGCACTCGCTTCGTGGCGGTTTCTGGGAACAGCACTCTCGAATGTGTTCACCGTATTCCCAGCACCAACTGTGAGGTTTACTGAACTTAAATTTTTTAGTGTCTAAGTTCCGGGGAAGAGTTTATCTAAGGTATGACCAAAGCAGTGTCTTTACCTTGAGAAAAAAAAGAAATTGTGTGAAAAAAAAATACATTGTAGGAGGACAAGGACTTGTTATTCTTACGAGGACGACAGCCAGGTCAAACCACACAGACAGACATACAAATAGAGAAAAGGCGGGGGCTAACCATCAGTTTTCAAGACAAAACAAGAGAAACTGCCCTTACCCTTATCTATACGAAATAAAGGACTGAGGGGTACAACGTAGAGCCATAATTGCCTAATATTTGGGTTTGGCACCAAGCATTATTCCACCTCCGTTTCTAGAAATCGTGTGCGTTTGTAAAGGGTTTTACAGGTAGGCTACTCTATAATACTGCATGTCCACAATACTGGGCAACATCAATGGAACGTGGCATCACATTTTCAATAATTTTGTTAGCACGCTTTCCGCTCAGAAGATGCATCGTATTTTGCTAAATGTATCCATAAAAATTGGAAAATGTGACATTGAACACATATAGGATTATCAGGGAAAAGTGCACTTAAATTCAGAGAGTTGACAAAGCAAGGTGCAATCCTGAATCGGCGGTTAAACAGCGATGTTATGAAATCGACTGAAGTGCTTTAAAAAGTGGGAACCGGATAAAGCTTATTTAATTAGTCTCATTCAATATTCATGTGACCGGGCCATTACGTCATCAATCTTATTTTCCACTATGTACGCTAGATCCCTGGACCGAAACAATACTATTCGGAGAGCTTATTTTTAAATGTGCAGCTTCAAAACAGACCGGTATGTCCGTGTCTCCGATTCAATGCTGTTTGAATGTCATTTTCGGCTAAGAATTCAAAAAGTTTAGTAATGTTTGGAAACACAAAATTGTTTGTTATCATAAGACAAATCCATCCCCTTTCACATGAAACACTCCCCACTGTAATCCAACACATAGGAATATTTCGACAGACTTTCATATATGATAACCCATTGTTGTTACCCAGTGTCGTGGACGTGCAGATAAGTAGGCCTATACACAGTGACAACGTAACTCAACTTGTTAATGAGGCCCACTAGTCAGTTGGAGACGAACTTGTTCCTGCTAGCCAGTGCCTAGGCCTGCGTGCATAAAGTTGAAGAAAGGCACGTCCTTGGCATTAGTTGATTTGTTGTAAAATAACCACGATGATTGTTTGTCTAGTTAAAGTGTCCGCGTCGAGACTGCGTGCTCAGTTGAACATTTCATGACGTAAATATGCTATTGTTGGGAAAATCCTAAAATTTCTGCCAAAAATACAGAAAGTATTTGCAGTATCTAAATTCCGATGGGGAAAATCCAACTCATCTACATTCAAAGAATTAGCAGTAATTTAATTTTCCACTTTGGCAACCTACAAAAACATTTTGCCGTAAACATTTATGTTAAGAGGACCATTTATATCTTACGCTCCAAAGATAGCTAATAATCGATTAACATATTTAAAGAAACCAATTGATTACAAGAAGATACAAAAAGCACATAGAGTTTATTTTCAATACGAAATGTCCTCAAGGCTGTAAGTTTGATTAATGGGAGGTTTCCGGGTAGAACAATACTTTCGTTTCACATATAGTACGGCAAAATAAATAAATAAATAAATAGATAAAACTGAAAGACTTGCCATCCTAAGCCTTCTATCCCTCAGCCGCGTGGCCAAACAGGTCTGATTTAGTTCTTTAATTACCTGTCTAACATTATTATATGCAAAGCTGTCCCTTCCACCACTCCCGCCGCACGTTGCAGCATGTCCGGTCTTTTTACTTTTTTACGTCAGTGTCAAATCAACAACATGCTCAAAATGGCAAAATGGAATTTTTTTACGTTAAAAATCACGCAGCTTCAATATATTCACAGCTGTCACATGGAGTTTCATGTGTTTTACAGATAATACAGACACCCACGACGATGAAATTAACCAGCTTTTAATGCGAACGTCTCAGGTTTCTTTTTCCAATGCCAAAAAAAGATTTGCAATCAAAGTCACACAATATTGCCGCCTCTGTGGATCTTACAACTTAAGACGTTAAAAACCAAAACCCACACCGCGTCAAAATAGTCAATAATAATTTAAACATCAATGGGGCTTCCCGTTCTGAGGTATTGTATTCAAACCTTGGCCACATTTAAAAGTTATTACTAATTTGAATACGCATACATATAATACTGGCACCTTTCTATGACAACAACACGTTGAAAATACCCCGATAATAATTATCTATTTTATAAGAGTACGCAGAATGTACCTAGACCGCATTCACAACCAAAGATGATCCGCGGACTAACAGATCCGCAGATCAAATATGGCCGACCCACTTGAAAGATTTTCGCGTAATTCCGTCGGGGAATCTATTTAGTGCCTTTTTGGGGATTATACGGCAAGCATTCAAGTGGGTCGGCAATATTTTGCCCGCATATCTGTTAGTCCGCGGATCAAATTGTTCTGATTGCGCCCTTAAAGAAAACGTCCTTGGTAATGATATCTCTAGTGCATTATATAAATACATATCAATCCTCTTAATAATCGTGTCATATCTATAAGTAGTTTGTTTGTTAACCAGGATGGCCTGACAGCTCATTTTCAATAAACATGTTTGCGTGTATGCCTATCCGTTTAAACCTACACCATTGGTCAAATAACATGAAACTAGGACACGTAAGGGCCGAGAGAAATTGTACGAGTTAGGCGTAGATTCGAGTTCATTCTAGGCAATAATGATGATTATTTCAGTTTGATATTGAAATTTATCAGGAAAAAAACTGTTCCGGGAGATTTGTTCGAGGTTAACGATAATTTTGGTAACGTTATAAGGTGAAGATTTAAAAGGGGTCGTACAACATACATGTTTGATATGTGTGACATTCATGAAAGAAAGTGGGAGATTGTGTCCCCCTTTGCAAAAAAAATGATGATTTTGATAAATTAGAATTTTGACTAGCTGAATCGTAGTTCTAAACCGTGCCAAATGGCACCGTTCGCCCTCTAAAATGCCAAAAATTTTCCCCACGCCAAGTGTTGGGGGGCGGGTGAGGGTCGGTTTTGCATCCAAGGACCCCCTCCCCCCTTTCAAATAATCCTAGATCCGCCCCTGTTAACAGTAGCTGTTAAGTGGTCCTTGGATCCTTCATACGTGTGTAAGGAAGAGATGAAATATGGTCATCCTGTATGGTGGGTCCTGTTGTGGCTGTACAGACACAAGCATATCAAGGGCAGCTACCGGTACCTATACAGTACGTCACGGTTTCACTGACTCCCGGTGAGAGTATATTGCCACCTTTATAATATCTTTGATTTAATGCTTTGATGGCTTAATTTTTCCTACTTAATGAAAGTTAACTAAAATTTGCCTTTTTCGGGGGCAGATCCAGGATTATTTAAAGAGGTGTCCCTTTTTTAAGGAATGACAGGCCTCGGATGCAAAGCGGACAATATCATACATGTAATATAAAACAAACAGTGCACAGTCCTTAGGGGACCATGAAGAATAATGCCCAGTGACAGGAAATGGGACCCAAGGCGATCCGTTTATTTTTATTTGTAACATCAAAAAATCAGAGAGCCCTCGGAGATGGAACCCAGTCATATTGGCGAGCGCTCAGCGACATAGCAACCACCCCATGGGCGTGGAGTTAGGAAGTGCAGCTTATTCAGAATACATCCAGGCTGTAACGAAACTTTGTATACACTGTACATTTATTGGTAAAATAAGTATGCTAACATGACAAAAATCAAACACAACTGACTGACAGCATTATTTGTTGATTGTTAAGTTAGTAGTCGATAGTTCACTTGAAAGACGCTTTTTTGCTGTGATTTTCTTCTCAGTAACCGAGGGGGTCAGGAACCTCCCTAAATCCGCGAAACAGGTCCCAGCTGGTTTTGTTCTTCAATCGCCTTCAGATACACACAATGTGTACGGTCGCAGGTGATGTTTTTTCTGCATCTTAAAAGCATTGATGATTAATGTATGACGGATATACTTCCCTTTCTCTTAATACGAAAATAAGATTTCAGTACTCACTTTTTCTAAATACAGATTGAAACATTTCAATCACTTAGGTGAATAATAGACAGTGAATAATAACGACAAAAACGGTTGGGTCATAAACATAAGGCCATTTCAAAAGCACAGATAAAGATTATTTCAACTGACTCACGGTGATAAACATGAGTCGTCGAACGCAGTAACCATGAATTTCGTGCAAAAAACAACAAGTGCTGCACGAATGTATAACATCACGACAAGGTTCCATCAACATATGAATCGAATTTCAAATGTCATAAACCTCAAGGAATTCAAAATTTTACTTAAGTGTCCGCAAAGGGAAGGTCAAATTCGCAAAGCTCAAAGAAAATTCTCGACTTTGTTTACTCATAGTTTCATCTTTACACGGCTTGTTTTCTCTTCCTACGTGTTAGAAAAACTATAATTGCGATCGTTTGGCAAATAAAAATTGCGGTCTGTTACGCTTTATAAGCAACACGCACGTTGCTGGAACAATAGTAATTCCAACATTTATCTGAAGGACACCTGTGCTTCTTCATCTGTATAGTTGTTTTTATTTTTCCAAAAGGGGAACCACGCAACATGCTGTGTCGGTTCTTGTGTCCCATGTTTGAATGTGGGAGTATGTTTATTTAATACGAAAGTTGATATCGTCCTGTAGTTGCTGTCTTCCTACCCGAAATAACGTTCAAAAGAACCATTGCAGAATTTATGAAAAAAAGAAAATGAAAGTACCGCATCTCCATATAAATTAAACCTTTAATAAACAGCACGCAGAGTCAATTGACTTAGCTTATGTGGAATTTTTAGATGTTTAGGAAGAGCGAGGTGGTGTTGATGCAAGTGATAATTAGTTTCGGAAATGACTCGATAACTACATCAAAATAGAAATTTCTGATAAAAGCCGTTCGATTCTGTGAAGATCAAGCCATAAATAAACAAATCCGAGCATTTATCTATTGTTCCAAAAGCAATATAATGTCGGTGGAATAAGCAAGCCGTGCGATATCCTGACCTGAGTGCCGTGTGATTTAGAGTCGGAAGCGAAAGAATAGCGTCCAAGAAAAGGTTATAAGTGCTCGTTTATCACATAGCTACATCTACGTATTTTTGCCCTGGTTTGATGCTGTTTGTTTTGCGATTTTGCCACTGGCTGGTCAAATCAAGGTTATACTCATGACAATCTGTACCGATTATGTTTGTACCTCTTTCAAACAAATTGGAAAAAATCCTGTGCAAAATTTAGAAATCATAACAATCCTCGCCTTATGTTGAAAGGGAATATTGTTGAAACGACATGAACTGTTGCGTGTACATTCCATGGTATTCCATTATCAGTTTTGAACTCATCAATTTTACTTTTAAGATTAAATAAGATTCATAAAGATTTGGCACCAATATGGCTCGCTCCAAAAGATGCATTATTCTTAACTCCAAACTTCAAAAAATAAAAGGGTACTCAGGCAGATTTAAAATAGTAATAAGTTCATATTATAGATAGTTATTGCACGGTACAGAACTTATGTCTTTCTCCTCCTTATCCCCCTCTCCATTCACTAAATCAAAATATTTTTGATCATGATAATAACATTTTTTTCATGGAAAAATGGGCTTTCGTGTAGTGATTAGACATATAATGGAAATTGTTTCTAGACAGATTAAACTGTTTACGAAAACATTATTGTAATGTGCATTGCCTTACATTGTACGAAGAATTTTTTTTTTTAGGTACACTGACACTTAAAAACACAACAGCACGACTAAACTTTAACTATAACAGCGTTATCCATTACGAGGCTTTACCCTAAAAGTAACAAGAAAGGCACCCAGAGAGCACAGACTTCTGCCAAGAGAGATCATTTCTCATTATCAATGAATGAATGGATCACCGCAGAAATCGAATCGATTCTACCTACATTGAAGTTAGCCCATCTCTAACCTATTCTTGACATGTATCAAAATCCGTCCATAAGTTTTTTGAGTTCGGCTGTTAACTGCAATATACATGTAACAAACCAGCAAAGGCAAATGGGCAACCTTCTTGGCGTAGGTAATAAAAATACAATGATAGTAATAAACAATACGTGCACATGGGGATGGTATATACGTTTGCATGTCCACTTCAGTTGCCTCACGTATCCACAATGACGCAGAAAAAGTATATTGAAATAGCTTTGCTGAATACGAAATAATGACAAACGTATAAACATCCTAATGAACACCTGCTAGCCGAGCAAGGGATACGAGAAAAACAATAATAGAAATGACAATAGTGATCGTGCCACGGAATTGAAATCGATGGCGACATGTATATCAAAGCCAGCCCTATTACTTTTGACCCACTGAGAAAGATAGCCACGAAATTAGACGATATATGCCTTATTGACCTTCGGTCTCATTAATTTGGTCTTGATTGACCTTTGTTGCGCCCACACGTGTTGTTAAGAACGGTTCAAGCGCGGTTCTAGAGCGTTCCAGAACCGCCAGCTACAGTTATTACACGTCACAGTTGGTTGTGATACGAAGAACTTTCGACTGAATACGCAAATAAAAGCTTTTAAATGTTATTCATATATTTATTCATACAACAGCTGCATGCTGAGGTAGATTGATTGCAATTAATTAAGAATCATGGGGTATGATATTGTACGGTTCACAACCGTGCTGTAATAGACGTCTTAACACATAGCAAAGAGATTAACATCGAATGTATTCTCAATATCAATGGGCAATAATTGCGAATCTCATATGGTGTTTATGGAAATGTGAAAAGAGATACTTGCAGATGCCATCTACACATTATTTACGGTATTGAATAAAGCAGCGGGTGCGGTGATGGTAAAGATAATATCCGGCGGAATATAATTCCCATTGTTTCAGAGAGGCAGAGAGCGGCCATCTCACCTCCAGGGTCTATAAGATAACGCTGCTTGTGTCTGGATACAGTGCACGTAAGGTCGACTTTGCAGACTTTTCTGTATTGGCCTGAAAGTGTTTCTTTAACGATTGGTTCATAACAGGTGTGGTTGCCACTGTTGTCCCATGTATAGGCCTATTGTGTATATTATTGCTAGAAAAGTAAGAAAATTAGTGCTTATTTTTTTCCAGTGCATGCACGTGCGATGTCTAGTTTGCTATTTATTTTGATCTGAGAGTGTTTCGTGAACGCTTGAGACCCACAAAGAAAGTGGTTGGAATATGGGCATCGAGTTCTCATGAATGTATCTGTGACCACTACATGTACATGTACATGTGTAGTAGTCTGACTTGTGAATAGGTTTTATAACCATCTCTGTTCTTGCTAATAAACTATGTTAAAAAGGGGGGTGATTTTCGAATTTAGCTCTTCGATTAGAGCCTTACATCGCTCTGTGACGAAATGTAACTTGCATCAAGATGTAGGATGTGTCAGTTTGCCTAGACGTAGGCCAACTGTATCTCTTTATTTCGAATCCGTAACACAATTCTTTGAAGCCATAACTACTACAGTAATGTCTTGTATCTATAATCAGCTATGGCTTAAACATGCAGTCTGCATGTGTCTTATTTATTGTTCTCGGAAAATGAGTATGTTAATATATAAACTAGCCTGTTCTAAAAATTAAGGATACGAAGGAGGAGGGAAATTCACATTCCATTATCATTTCTGTAACTAGGTACATGTAGGCCTACCCTTTTAGACCGAAAGTGTTTTTGCCTAGCACAATAAAGCCTAGTATATAATTTTATATGGTAGTACTCCAATTAGGAAAAGATCAAATCCATTTTACCACGACAGATTACAACCACGCAGGTCTAGCAATTCTCCTGCTTGGGCGTCACAGTACTGTGCCAACCCATGCAGATGACATCAACAGAGATACTGCAAGATCCCACGAAAATACACTACTGGAATAATTACGAGCTCCGCGATTCGTGCACTCAAATTTGCATCACTCCGGAAAATCACGAATCACCGGGTACATGTTTTTAATGACTTCGTTTCACGAAAGAAAAAAAATAATAAAAAGGCACATTCAGTCCCGGTAATGGGTTCTTCACGGACCACTCTAAACAATATGATTATGAACGTTTTACGCATCTCGGAAAATAAAAATTAGCTTTCAAGTGTAACGAAAATGCCCAAGTTTGACCCTTTTAGAAACCAACAGGTTTGAAAAATGTCATCACAAAATTACCAGGAAATTGCAAATATTAAATCCTAACAAATTTCACGTCAAAACAAAATTGTCTCGATCATGATTAAATAAGATTACCATTAGTGAGTCTAATCTTAATGGCACAATAAACTAATGAAGTCATTATGAGGTAATATTAAGTATACCAAATAAAAATAAATCAAGATTCAATGTATATTTGTAGCCTTATCATTCTTTTCATAGACCTGTCCATATAATAATTGGGAAATATATTGTAGCTAGCTATATAGCCTACAATATCATAAACAGTGATGTATGAAAAAATATATAGGCAGACAAACAAAAAAGTAAAAATAAATGGCTTTAAAAATGTAAATAAATAAATAAATAAATAAATAAAAATGTGCAATAATAATACAGCTATGAAATAGTGAATTCAATCTCTTGGTTGCCGGATTACGGATAGCCACGATCTTTGTTTTTATGTACTACCTGTCACGTGATCAAAACAAGCATATTCGGTAAGTAGGTGACTTCATCTCGGTGACACACTTTCCAACATCACTAATTTGGCTTAAAATCTATGTCACAAGTACAGGGGAGTAATTCTTTGCATTCCATTTCTTTTTCTTTCTTCTAGTCTTCAATTTACAACATCGAGAAAGATGTCTCTTCTTGAACAATTAAAGAATGTGAAGTTAAAATCATCAGGCGTCGAGAGGGATTTTTCAGGTCCAAAAACGACTGGATTTTTGTCACAAGGGGAAATTGACAAATATCAGAACTCCGTGTTGGATGTCAACACAGAGCAGTGGTATGCTCTCCTCAAGGATGTCACATTTGAGACAGTTTATTGTTCGATATATTACGATGAAGCTCAGTTGTTCGTGAAAGTTTATGAAAAAGTTTACAAGGATGGTGACTCGTCGGAAATTGCAAGTCGGAATTGGAGAGATGCTTTGTGCGCAGATGATTTGGAGCTAGTGCAAGCCATGACAGATAGACTACAGGAGCAAATGTTAACTTACACCCAAGACGGTGGCTCAGCTTTTGTTAAAACTTCCAGTCGGAGTGCGAAGGATGCTCCTTTGTACCAAGAAAAAATCAAGCAACTTTATTTGGAGAAACTGCATTCACACCCAAAAGAACTCCACTGTGATGAAAACTTGCAAATAACATGCTTGCTTGAAGCAGCTTTTGAGGCAATGAAAGTGGCAGATGCTGGCACCGTTTTGGATATGTTTATGAGAAGCGAGAGGATCTTTCAGGATATGCTCCTCGCCACAGAAAAGAAAGACCGTTTTCACGAGAACTTTGTCATTCGCCGGTACCATCACATTGATGTTGACATGGAGTTCCGAGGCTTTGTCTTCAACAACAGGCTGACTGCCTTATCTCAGTATAATTACCTCATCTATTCTGAGAGACTGGTAAAACAGAAAGAACACATACTGAATCTCCTTACTGAGTTCTACAACAAAGAAGTTTTACCCAGGCTAAAGACAGCAAAGTTTGAGAAAGATTTTATTATTGATTTTGCACTCACTGATGAAGGTTAGATCCAAAGCAGATGTTTAGATAATAAACTATGTACCCTATAATTATCATGTACATACACGCACATTATGTTTAATTCCGTCATAAATTGTACAGTAGTTGTTTTTGCACAATATTTGATGATATAGATATATAGTATATAGTTGCTTCTTCGTACTCGTGTCATTGTGTTAAATTACTGGTAGATTATACTATTTATTGTATTCATTTATTTTAGCACATTAGTTCAACATTTTAATATTCTATTTTGCTATACTCCTTTGCCCACAATATACAATTTATATAATGTATCTTGTAGGAAAAAGAATCTGGGTAATAGAGATCAACCCATTCATGGAAACTACAGATGGTGCGCTGTTTGACTGGAACAAGGAACGTAGCATACTGGAAGGACGAGAGGGAGAAGATGTGACGTTCCGTTTAACAACGAGACCAAAGCCAGGTGCCAAAGTTATGCTACCTGTGGGTGCGAGACAACTTTTACAGGAAACCTCATCTACCACCAGTGTGTGACACTAGTACCTCAAATGTAAGGTTATTTTAAAACTAAGTGAAAATATAGTTGTGGGTCTGGGTGAGGGCACTGTCAGTGGGTCCATGCACCTCTCTAAACTTCTGAGGTTCTCCCTCTACTCCTCTCCCTTTACACCCTCCCCCTTCCCCCCCTCTTATGAAAAAATAATGAGAGATAGAAGACAAAACCAAGCCATTTATCCATCCCTATGACCTACATGTACATATGACAATAAAGTTGTCCTTTGTTCAATCAAATAAATGCTCATGCCACCCCTCCCTGTCTCCCTCGTAAGGACATATTAGTGATAATGTGATGGTATCTGTCTATCTGTGATTATGACCCGTTTTGCCTATCATATCTCTGATAAGTGTGTTGACTGTTGTTATAATTGGCAGGGAGGTTTATCTATGAACAATGCACATTGATGTACCAGATAGTGTATACTAGTACAGACAGCTGCACCATAGCACTGTTTATATATATATATATATATATATATATATATATATATATATATATATATATATATGTGTGTGTGTCAGTTTTATGTTTATTGCTAAAAAAGACGAATACTGTGTATAATGTAAATTGACAATTACTTGTGCAAGCAGGTCTGGGTCTATTTTTTAAGATGAAAGTGGTATTGTACTTTATACTTTATAGGTATGTGGGCCTATTAAAAAGCACAATAGCACTGGACAGTCAGTACAGTCAACAACATAGGTGCAATGTTTACTTTAATGTGCAGTTTTTAAGAACATTATTTTAAATATTTAATATGTATAGAATAAAGTATACATACCCCATACTGGTATATTACAGCTACACTAACTTCCTGTTTAGATATCTCTTTCCATGCAATCATATTTTATTGAATTATATGTATCTATTAATGATTTTATGTACGGATTCATTTTCATCTAATTTTCTATAAATATAAATTTTTGAGTAAAGTGATGATAAAAATTGCAAGTTTGGGTTTATGATTGCTACAGATGAGATTGGCAGTTGGTTGTGCAATCTGCACAACTAGCAGAAGGAGCGTGCAACATGAGTGTTAATGCAGTTCGATACGTTGGGATTCCGCTCCCC